TCATCCAGGGCTTCAGCCACCTCTGTGCACAAAAGGGTTCCCTTTTAAGACAAAATGTCTATACAATAATTTTTTGGGGGTGTACAAGAGTAGATGGCAGCTTTATTGTGATTCCTTTGTTTGGTCACAAAGCAGTTAATAAACGTTTCCCATACATTAGAAGCTTTTTCTGTAAAAAGCCCGGTCCATCAGTAATTAGTGTGGATGCGCCGAGTTCATTAGCTTGCTTCATTTGCCAGGCTGTGGGATAAATGATTACAAAGTTCCATTTCTCCTTGTGCAGCTCCTTAATGTCCCGCAGTCTTTAAATAACCCATTCTGGTGATATGCTCACAGGTGGCTGCTCTGGAATGACATTGCTAGGACAGTTTCAATTTGTGGAATCTGTGAAATTTGTTAGGCTAATCTCTATTGGAACTAATTAAATTATGTCTTTTATTGCTCGGCCACCTGATCCCACAAAAGCATGTTCACACCAGATTTATCATATCTATCCCCCAGTGTCTTCCTAACCGGCTGCTAATCATTTTTCTTTCAGCTATTTGTCCAGTCCAATCAGGGTGATGAGGAGACAACCAAAATCACATACTTTACTTTTATCGGGACCCCAGTACAGGCAACAAATATGAACGACTTCAAGAGAGTGAGTATTGGAGACCCTTTCCGGTTAAGTGTATTCTTTTCGTCGTTGTGTCACTTAATAAAGGGCCTGTCGATAGGCAATGTTTGTAAACCAATACAAATTGCATAGTCCACTTTATATTTACTATATGGGGTGTCTGCATTCACCAGATAGATGCTGTGTGTTCATCCAGATATTGGCTTTCAGCATTTGGTCACATGACCTTTTCAACGTATAAGCAGAGTCAGTTGCCTCTACCTAAAATGTCTCTAGCCCATAACTTTTCTGCTGAGGTCATATGTTCAAATGGAAGCATTAGGTCCCAAGACAAGCCTTAGCAGGCCAGTCAATCCAAAGCTGGTATTCCACATGTTGGTAATGCTGAACTCTCCCCCAGTCTGAGTGCTACTGTTGACATGATTGCAAAGAGTTTTATGGAATAATAATAATTAGGGATGCGCCGATATATCGGCCGAAAATGGCACTTTTGGCATAATGCCAAAAGTGCAATTTTCTGGCCGATACAGAGGTGCATCCTATTCTCTCCTTCCCGCTGGGCGCCGAGCTGTGTCGCAGGCGGCCGAGCGCTGTGAGGAGGGAGAGCGGGTAACGGCAGTCATTGATCAGTGAGTGTTGAGGCCAGAGTATGGTTACTATATCCTCAATTTTGAATGAATGGGAAGTGATCTACATTACCTCCTCTTCATTCATGATTGTGGTTATAGTAAACATACTCTGTCATTGATAACAGGGGCTGCAAGAAAAGAGATTGAGGATTCTGTGTCTTCACTCTCTTTTTCTATTTTAAAAGGGAAATATCATTGATCTGTTTAGACCCCTAATATTTCCCCTAAGCCCCTAAAAGTAAAAAATAAATAAAATAAAAATATTTCGGTTTTGAAATGTTCATTGCGGTGCACCTCTAATAATGAGATAAATTAATTTGTGTCTTTCATTTCTCCTTGGGCTACAGCTTTAAAGAAAAGCCCTACACGCCAACTACTTTATTCTCACCACTGTAGTGCTCCTCTGCCGCAGTCAAAATCGGAATACCTGGTTTTGGAGCCCTGAGGGAGTAATGTCATGTGATAGTGTTTGGGCCTATGAAAAACATGATTTTCAAAACATGAATTTCCAGGATACCAAATCATTTTGTATGATGACATGGTTCCACTTTCTGCGGCATTCTTTTGGGGTGTGTGTAGAGACGGAACTCTTTACGCCCTGGGATTGGCAAAAAGTTGGCTGTACAACACTGAGCATAAAACGGGGAAGAGGACCGGTGCCGGATCCCCGAGCGAGTGAGCACATTTTTCATGCTGCTTTCTTGCTCAGTCAATGCTGTAAGCTCGTTGTCCGATTGTGTTGGAGCGTACACAGGGTTGGTGATGTCCTAGTCCGCGCATGACAGTGTTTGGGCTTGGGCCTAAGCCTAGGAGGTCACGTGTTCCCCTTAAGCCAAAAGCACAGGGTATTTTGCAGCAGCTCTGACTGTGCAACTGAGTGGTGGGAGAGCTTTAGAAGGTAAGTATAGGTGGGTCAGGGTTGTGTAAAAGACTCTCTCTCCCTTTGCCCTGTGTGGACGAAGTGACAGTCTCTTTAAATATAGTGGGGAGAATTTTTCAAAACTGGAGCAGACAATCTGGAGCAGTTGCCCATGACAACCAATCAGAATCTCTCTTCAGTTTGCTCAGTTGAGATTTGAAAATGAGAGAGAGAAGCTGATTGGTTGCTGTGCACAGCTGCCCCAGTTTTTGTCTGCTCCCCTCACAATGTTTAAAATGTAGTTCTCCTTTTAATGATAAAAAAAACCTCCATCTTTTCATGAAATTATTCTAAAACTGTCTTTTTTTTTTCTCTTTTCTGAGATGTTGAATTTTGCTCCATCCCACACATTGCCATCTTCCCCTGTGTACAGTGAACAAGTATTTCATTGTTGGTAATTCTCTTCCCTCTTACAGGTTGTAGGGAAAAAAGGAGAGAGCCACTGAACACACCAAGGTCAGCATCAGAGAATGCTGGATCTTCAAGAAAAGTGCGATTGTTCAAGAGAGTTAATGTTTCCTTCAGAAAAAAATCCCAATAAATCATTGATTTTTGTTAATCCGAGTTTCCTAACAGTGATTTTATTTGGACCTGGCTATGCGCATTTGTAAATAAATAAGACTGCTTTTGCCAAATGACTTTGCGTCTGAAGAGTTTGATGGGGGTCCGGTCCATGTAACATTCAGAAATGTATGGAATTCGAGAACATGTCGCTGTTTCACCCTAGAAAAAGCTAATATACAAATATTTATTTTTTGTGTTTAATCATCAGTCTTTTCATTAACAGCCAAGCCTTCTATACAGAACCTGGGGGTGCCATTGACTGTCCCCCAGCAGCAGTGCATGTTCTAGGCTGAAGAGGTGTGCTGAACCACTGCTGGAAGTCTGCCAATGGACACCCCCAGCCTCGGGTAGAAGCCTCTGACTAGGTGGATACCAGCCATTCAAGAAATCTGTCTATTTTAACATATATCTCTTGGTGTATATATTAACTGTGTGTGCAGATCTGAGGCTGCCGCTTTAAGAAGTAATATTAAAAGTTCTGCTGTTGTGTAGAAGACATTGTTTGTTCTTTTGTAGCTTTTGTTTTGAATGCAGTCCGCTACGCTTACGAAATGTATGTTTGTGTGTTTGTTTCAATCATTCTCCATGTTCCTGCTTAAAGTGGAACTCAAGCTTAACCCTTGCAGTGGGGCTACTCTCAGTGGGGGGGGTGAGAAGAGAGAGAAGAGGCACAGGAGATTTACATTTCCGGAAGTGTTGGTCTTGGAAGAAACGTTTTTTGTATCAGATGTTGGGTGGCTTGCACAGCAGGATAGTGTGAAGACTTACCTTTTCTGATGGGATCCCTGTGCTCCTGCATCCCATGTTGGTAAGCCTGCTTCCCAGTACAGTACGCAGGCAATGCAACTGACAGGCTCCTGTATGCGGTCAATATGCCCGTAACTTTCTCTCTTGGTGTCCCCTGCATTGTCCTCCCTTTAGCCTGATTGGTCCTCCTTTTTTAACGTGCCTGATTTAAGCCTCACTGACCCTGAACCCAATTATTGTTGTAGGTTTTTTCTTGTCCTTGATCTGCCATTTGCCCATATCTGATCTCCTATGTATTGACTCTGCCTGTTTCCGGCCATGTTTTTTGCCTGCTGCCTGGACTGACCCTTTGCCTGAATACTGGCGAAGTGTCTATCTGCCGCCTAAACTGATACTTGCCTGTTTAACAACCACACTTCTGCCAGCTGCCTGGACTGACCCTTTGACTGTAAACTGACCATGTCTCTGCCTGCCATTTGCACTAATCTTTTCCCTGTTTGAGAACCACGCCTAAACTGACCTTTCTGCATGTCCCACTGTCTACGTTTGTCGAGGCACAAGTCCCAGCCGTCATCTGTGGACATCTGGATTCCAGGTGCCACAGTACCTCTTTATTCACCCTTTGCTCAGCCTTCTGTGCATCATAGCATCCTTGGGGCAACCAAGTAGCAGTAGGCCTGCTTGCCTTTAGGAAACAGTTGCTGCTACTGGAAAAGCTACATTAAGCCAGCTACATTCCCTGGCCATTCAGACCGGGGTAAGCATTACAGAAAGATATGCCATTTTTTAAATGTAACTTTGAGTAAACAGCAGAGTTGCTTTAAAATCCAGGGTGCTGGTTTAAAATACTCAGTTAAGGCATTAGAGTTATTTTGGGTCCCGCTGTTTACTATTGTTTCATATAAGTGACTATCATTCTCACTGACCGATGGAGAGCCTTCAATAACAAATCTCTCTCTCCCCCTCTCTCCTCAAGTCCAATAATAAAAATTGCTATTTAGAGGTTTTTTTGGAAGATACTTTTCCTAAAAAGAAATTATTTCCCAGTGCTTAGCAATTTTGTATGCACCCTGCATGACACATGCACCATACAGTGTACACACCGGACTCAATTATGGCATGCTCAATGGACAAAGATAAGCGATGGAGGACCCAGAAGAAATCTGCAGTGGGGGGCAGAGTAGCGAGTCTGGGCCTGCCAGCACTGGAGGAGGGCATACTAGGATGTATGTGTGCCATAATATATGCTGTGCACATGGCAAGAGCCCATTCTCAATGCTTTGTTTTGTTTGAAGCAGCTCTTTAGGGGTCCTACTGTTCTACTGCAGAACAAAAATATAATGTTAAACAAACATCAGACAGATGGGTAGCTGAAATGTAATTTTGTTTAGCTTTTTAAACAAATAGATGTGTGTGAGTTATTTTAATAATTTTCCCTTTCCCTGCTTAAAGTAAACCTATGGCTACTGTAATAATCCATGAACAGACATGGAACACAGGGACCTAGGGGTGTCCACATCTAAATTTGACTCTGATGCTTACTCGAACTATCTTCTGGGAGAAAGTGAGGAGCTGTTAAAAAGTGGGCACACCATCAGATATCTGCCAGAGCACTTTGAGAGACCCAAAACCCAAGGTGCTTAGTTATACAGAACAGATGGGATTTCAGCTCTGTCATATTGTGGACTGCCCTCTTCTTGCTATTGGTCAGTAAGGCCACACATCACACTGAGAAACCAATAGGGAAAATATGAGATGCAGGAGGAGGCAAGGTCATAGTGCAACTACAGGACTGAAGACCCTGGCATTCTGGGTGGGTTCCTGGGCGACATCTTAAGATATTTGCAGTTTTGTATAGAAATGTGGGAGGTTCCTTCTTTGGATGCCCACACTGCTGCCTATTTATTGTCCAGCGGCAATGTCCCCAAGGGCTCCAGCAGGTTGCAGTGGAGTGATGACATCAGGATGATGGGACCAGTTGGTGGCAGAAACAAACTAGTGTTGGATCGCCATTCTCTATTCAGGGTCAGGACCTACCAAAAGTGGTCCAAGGATGGAAAACAAGTGAACCAGCTTCAGGGTCATGGGAGGCCAAGGCTCAGTGATGCACATGGGAAGTGAAGGCTGGCCCATGTTCAGCAATTTGAGGTACTGGAGCTCAAATTGCTGAAAAAGTTAATACTTTTTCTGATAGAATAGTGTCTGAACACACTTTTACACAGTTTGTTGTGTATGGGGCTGCAGACTGCTCAGGGTGACCATGCTGACCCATGTCCATAGCCAAAAGCAACTACAATGGGCATGGGAGCATCAAAACTGGACCACAGAGCAATGGAAGAAGGTGGTCTGGTCTGATGAATCACCTTTTCTTTTACGTCATGTGGATGGCCGGGTGCATGTGTGTCGCTTGTGGGAAGAGATGGCACCAGGACACACTATGGGAAAAAGGCAAGCCGGCGGAGGCAGTTTGATGCTTTGGACAATGTTCTGCTGGGAATGCTTGGGTCCTGCCATTTATTTGGATGTTACTTTAACATGTATGACCTATCTAAACAAGTACACCCCTTCATGGAAATGGTATTCCCTGATGGTAGTGGCCTCTTTCAGCAGGATAATGCACCTTAACCACTGAACCACTACCAGGGTCGCAGCGGTCGCAATTGCGA